TGATAATTAAGTCCCCAGCCTGCTAGCCAGCTAAAGAAAATAGAGAGCTAGACTGATAGATAGACTGATAGAGAAAATGATGCTATAATAAATACAGAATTTCTAACACATTCTGACAGGATACATTCATTCAAATACATTCTCATCTCCACATCCACAGACTTCATCTGACAAAAACCAATTTCAGATAAAATTGAAATAGCAATACTAAGGATTGGGGAGTTATATTACAATGTACCAAGAAATGAGAATTCACAACACATTTTTAAAAGAAAAGAGTACACTGAAACACAGATGTTGGTTTTTTAGCTGTTAACTTGATTAGCGAGTCCATGCTCATCAACTTATACTGACCATCGTTTGATAAACTTTACTCACATCTCCTTTCAGCCCTCCCTTCTTCATCAATTGATTTTGCTCAATCTAATGTATACAATAGTGCATTATTCTGACTTGTGTGATATCCTTTAAGTAAAGATTTTTCACTGTACACAATGCTTTCACATCTCAGCATCCTATAAGACACTCTGGGAGTTCAAGACCTCTGATGGAGAAACGCCCCTGACTTTGGCGGTCAAAGCTGGTCTGGTGGAAAATGTAAGAACTTTACTAGAAAAGGGAGTATGGCCAAACACCAAAAATGGCAAAGGAGAGACACCTCTTCTGATTGGTAAATGATCTTTTTTTTTCTAGAACTGTTGTAGTTTGAGACAAATAAATATTTAATAAGCATTGATTGGAAACCACTATGTTTCGGCTAAAATTATGTGACCTCATCTCCTTCCATTCCCTGAGTTCCTCCCCCAACCCCCATCTCATCTGCCTCATGATTTTGTTTTTTCTGTCCCACAAAGAGATCAAATGTGAAAGATCCTTCAGCACTAACTGACCAGGGGGGATCTGAACTAGGAGCTTTATGAGACCAGAAGTACCACTTCTAAAGGAATGTTCTCTGGTGGGGTCCAGCTCTAAGGGGAGCTGTCCTGGGGTATGGAGCCAGAGGAAAGGGGCAGACATGGGATTCCAAAGAGAGATGCCAGGTCTATATCAGGACAACAAAGCCAAATGGACAGGAAGGGGAGCCAGCAAATTCCAAATACTCCGATGCAGCACTAGGCACCACAAAGGGTTCACCACTGTGACACAACAAAGAAATGGTGATCAACCTAAAGGTGTCATTTGTCAGCTGCTTCTCAGTCTTGTGTATCCTTCTGTTTGGTGACCAATACAGGTTGGCACGTCTATTTGCAGAAGCAGAGAGAGATGAGATTAACTCCAAATGACTAGAGATAACCTTTCCTTTTTCTTAGGACATAGGGTGGTAGGGTAAGAATTTGGGCTTAGGCACCTGAGATCTGTGGATTTAATTTTTTCCCAGCTCTCCTGAGATATAATTGACATATAACATTGTATTAATTTCAGATATATGATATGATTTATATATGTCTATATTGCAAAATAATCACTACAATACGTTTAGTTAACTTACATCACCTCACATAGCTACAAATTTTTTTTATGATGAGAACTTTTAAGATCTA